AAATCCCGAAATCCATAAAGTTTGTTTCGGTCATAGAACACTGAATCTACACGCGGATAGAAAGTAAAAAAAATACTAAGAAAAATCTTGAAAACCCCGAAGTGTGTTTTGGTAACGAAGCACTGAATCTACATGCGGATATAAATCCATAAAAATTAACGTAAAATCCTGAAAAACCCCAAGTCTGTGTAAGTAACGAAACACTGAATCTACACACGGATATAAAGTTTTCAAAAATACTAAGTAAAATCCTAAAAACCCCGAAGTGTGTTTTGGTAACGAAACATCGAATCTAAATAAGAATCTAAGTCAAAAAAAGTCAATGTGGAATCCTGAAATCCCCAAAGTGTGTTTCGGTGACGAAACACTGAATATACATACGAATATAAAGTTAAAATAATACTAAGTGAAATCCCGAAAAACTCGAAGTTTGTTTCGGTCAAGGAACACCGAATCTACACGTGGGTAGAAAGCTAAAAATAATACTTCGTAAAATCTTGAAAATCCCGAAGTGTGTTTCAGTTCAGTGACAAAACACCGAATCTACATGCGGATACAAGTCACAAATGTCAAAGTAAAATCCTCAAAACCCCGAAGTGTGTTTCGGTAAAGAAACACAGAATCTGCACACGGATATAAAGTTAAAAAAAGATAGTAAGTAAAATCATGAAAACCCCAAAGTGGGTTTTGGTAACAAAACACTAAATATACATACGGATATGAAATTAAAAAAAATACTAAGTAAAAACTTCAAAACCCTGAAGTGTGTTTCGGTAGTGAAATACCGAATCTATATGTGGATATAAGTCCGAAAAACTCAAAGCATAATCTAGAATACCCCGAAGTGTATTTCAGTAAAGAAACACCGAATATACATATAATATGAAGTTAAAAAATACGAAAACAATACTAAGTAAAATCCCGAAAATCATAAAGTATGTTTCGGTAATAGAATAATGAATCTACGTGCGCATATAAAGTGAAAAAACGTGAGTGACGGATGGCCCAGTGGTTAGGGCACCGGTTGGAAATGCACATTGTGGTCTGAGGTTGCGGGTTCAAATCCGCAACCTCATGCATATGTTGTCGGCATGGCGTTAGGTTAATACACTACCACTCACACACTAAGCGTCCACGTTCCCAGGGGTACGGACGTACACAGGGCTCTACAGCTCTGGACTTGGGGAGCCACCTACAAGGATGCGCACTGGATGTTGATATCCCAATCGTACTTCCGAGATCCCCGCAACGGTTGAGCGTGTGCCTCCCCTTGGGGTTGTCAAGGCCATGGGGGGGGAGTGGCTCTAGGAGGAGCAGGCTCAGTTGGAGCGTACGGGAGGAGCGAGGGGGTCACCCCTCCCCTAGCAGGAGTTGTTGCGTCCCTTCGGCACCATTGTGACCGTGGTGCGAAATGCCTCCCAGCAGTGGAGCCACAGGGAGGTGAAGCCCTGAGTATGGGAGGGGGGACCCCTGTCACCAGCGGCCTGGTAGCGTCGGTCTGGGTCGATACTCCCGGGTGGGTTGTGAGGATTGTGAGTTCCCTCGTTGACTGATCACTGGGTAATGGGTGGGCCTGCTGCACTGCTAGTAGGGCTGACCCCGGCGAGGGAAGCCCTCTGTCGGACATCCTCCCTGGGTTATAACCCCCGACAACTCTACAACCCTTTTAAATAAAAAATAAAGTGAAAAAACAAAACTAAATAAATAAAATCCTGGAAACCCCGAAGTGTGTTTCGGTAACGAAACAACGAATCTACATGCAGAAGAGCGTCAACGTATAATCGTGAAAAACCCCAAAGTGTGTTTCGGTAGCGAAACACTTTATATACATACAGATATAAAGTTAGAAAAGTACTGAAGCGAAATCCTAAAAAAAACGAAGTGAGTTTCGGTAACGAAGCACAAAATCTACATACGAATGTAAAGTCGAAAAGAAAAATACTGTGAAAGATCTCGAAAACCCCGAAGTGTGTTTCCGTAACGAAACACCGAATCTATATGCGGATATAAGTCATAAAAATTCCAAGTAACACCTCGAAAACCCTGAAGTGTGTTTCGGTAACGGAACACCGAATCTACACACAAATATAAATTTGAAAAAAAACAACCAAGTAAAATCTAAAAAACCCTTAAGTGTGTTTCGGTAACGAAACACTTAATCTATATGAGGATAAAGGTCAAATAACGTCAAAGTCTAATCCTTAAAACCTCAAAGTGTGTTTTGGCAACGAAACAGTGAATATTCATACGGATAGAAAGTTAAAAAAAAAAACAAGTAAAATCTCTAGAACCCCGAAGTTTGTTTCGGTAACGAAGCACCGAATCTACGTGCAGATATAAGTTAAAAAAAAAAAAAAACACCAAGTAAGATAATGCAAAACCAGAAGTGTGTTTCGATAACGAAACACCGAATCTACATGCGAATATAAGTCCTCAAATATCCAAGTAAAATGTGAAAAAGTCCAAACTGTGTTTCGGTAACAAAACACCGAATATAGAGGTGGATATAAAGTTAAAAAAATACTACGTAAAATTATGAAGTGTAAAATCACCAAATGGATGTATTTACATTCAGTGTATCATATGTACAACTCTTTTTATTATAGAATCAGTGAAATAAATATCTTCCACGAACCACTTCCCCGAAAAGATTGAGCAATCAATTTTATCAATGATGACTTATTATCAACATAATTGGGTCAAACAATATTCTTAGCGTTATGCAAACTCACTCAATCTAAACGAAACGTGGTTATTAGCACGAGAGAATCAGGAGTAAGTCGTATGGCAATATACGGAATTGGCAAGCACGATATAAAATTTGAAATTGTGAAACATATCAGCAATGGTCAAATTCTTTGTCTATACAACTCTAAAATCGTTACACACTGATTGCAAATATGAAAGAGGGAAATTCAAACTTAGCATTAACGTCTTACACAAATGTCTAATAGTTGCCTTGACTAAAAGGTCATCAAACTTGATACGTACGACCAAACAAGCAGCATGACACATATTGAATCTCCTACGACACACATGGGATAAAACGATCATAAGAGTTGTACGAGAACGTTTATTCAAAATGGTTTTAATTGGAGTATAGGAACAGACGAGAGATTGCAGATCCCAGCAGGACAACTCGCGTTTGGACTGAGGTTCACGAAGCAGAGGCATGACTTCACCCTTATTGGATAGAAAATTAGATCAGTATAGGACAATGGATTGGGAAATGATAGATTCACTTGATTGGAACCATGATCGATAATGCCTAAGGAAGGAGGTAAGTAGAGTAGGCGGGGAGATTGTGCAGTGACCAAACAACCGACATACGAGCCTCCAGTTATCGGAAAAGAAGTTGTCCGATAGAATGTGAACTGGGACAGGGGTGGAGTGTGAGAAAATTTTATAGTTGAAGGCATTACGTAGGATAAATAATACACTAGAGGAGGTATGGTCAACGGATGATAAAAAAATGAAAAAAATCTTACTTCAGGTAAGAGAAATAGATGAAGGGGAAGAACGGTGAGGGAGAGATGAGGAGGAAAAAGAAGATGAAAAGGGGGGGAGAATTGGGGTGAACAGAAGAATGAAAGGAATAAAAAGGTTGAACAAAAAAATAGGAGGAAAGGGGAAGGGAGGCAAGGGAAAGGAGAGGTTTCTTCCTTCTGGCCCGTTTTTTACGTCTAGGACGACATGTCAGCCTTTGATGTTTACAACGAGCGATTGGAAGAGCGGAAAAATAATTTTTCAGCTGAAAGATGGTCGTCATCAACATTGGAGAAGAAAGGGATTACTACACAGTCATCAAGACTCATGTGGCGAAGCCACCTGTATAGTTTCATGTTCCTACGAAGAAACATGGTAATAACGGATACCATAGTGTGTTCGTTCCAACGAACTTTGAGGGATAGGGAGGTACAACCTACGTAGACATATTCATTCATCCAATTTAGTTTTGTTTAGTAACTTTTGATATTATAGAAATGTTTCATTTTTCGAAAAGTCGCGTTGGGGAATAGGGGAATTGGGGAATTTGCCATGCAAAGAGAAGATAAATTTTACCGTCCATGAATATGTACTATGAATTTTTTAAGTTTTTTTTTTATAAATGTGTTTATAGTTGTTTCCTAAAACTAAAAAACAAATTTGTGTTTTGATCTTGTTCTGTTAAAAACTTAATGTTCACATTGTTTCAGTACACTTCGAGTAATCAAGTATATATATATATATATATATATATATATATATATCGTCACAAATAGAACTGCTCGTATATATATCGTCAAATAGAACTGCCCGGTAAACCGTAGGCAGAGAGGGAGAAGAGGACAACAAACGAGGGGCTGTGACAAACTGCTTCGTCGGAGTTTCACCGACTCATCAGGAGGCTATATATATATATATATATATATATATATATATATATATATTCGTTCTACTTATATTTCTACCTCACTCTCTTTACGTACTTTTTTCCCCTTTCTAGCTTTTTTTCTCACATCATTTTTATCTTGCAAATCTTATGTACTTTATTTCGAATCGGATGTTGATTGTTGATTCATACAGCGTTTGGCTCGTCCAAGTGTGCTGTCAACTGTGTGTGAGTCTGGTCTTTGCCTGCATCTGCAGTTATTTGCTATACTACTACCTAGGGTCGTAACCATCTAGGCGGTTGTACCTAGAGGAGGTGGCGGCTAGGTCTATCGGGTGACTTCCTTGAAGATTCGGGAGAATTGTTTATGACCCAGTATCGTGAAGATGAGCGAGAGAGGAGACATGAGAAGAAGTAACGATGGCGGTGGTGGATTGCCACCAGATGGGCGTAAGTGCTATAAGTGCGGTGAGAGCGGACATTTTATACGTGACTGTGCGGAATTTCGGCATGCAAAAGCGCAAGGGAAGACGTTCCATCTGCCTTACCGACCGGAAAAACCAGAACTGGGCGTTCGTTGTCTAGCGGTGATAGTCAGTCGGCTCGTCGCAGTCGGTCAGCGGAAAGTGGAGGCGAACGGAGCGATAGTACAGATGATACTAACGCGATGATACGTGAGTACTTCGTGCAAATGGTCGTGGAGAGGCGTGAACGATTGGAACGTGAACGAGAGGAGGAAAAAAGAAGAGCCGAAGAAGAAGCACGTCGATTGAAAGAAGCTAAGAGAGCACAGAGGGAGGAGCAGAGGCTGAGGCATGAGGAAGAGCGTGGCGTTAGACTGATGCGGATTTTGCGAAATGAATTCCGGAAAGACAAGGAGAGTGAAACAGAGAGAGACGACTACAAAGACAAAAAGCCTGTTAAATCAAATAGTCGGGCGGATGCTCTGAATGAAGAAAAGGAACGTCTTCATAGGAACATTGCGCAGCGAACGATTGGTTTGGAAGAGATGGAGGACGAGGAGTTGTTGGCGTTACGAAGATATGCGGCGAAATTGGATCTGTTGGAGAAAAGGAAGCGGGGTCCAGATTTACCTGTAGGAAATAGCCTGCCGATGGTTACGCCGGAGAAGAAGTTGAGTTCGAGAGTTTCGGAAGAGGCGAAGGGGAGGATTGAGATGTTGAAGGGTGATCAAGCAAAGGAGGTTGGGACGACCAGTACGCCAACCAAGATCGACCTATCCCTCAAACACATCATGGCATCATGCGGTCCAGGAGGAAAAGAGAAGTTCGAGCAGGAGTGTCATAATTTTTATGACGCATTGACCATTGTCGAATTGAAAGAGGCTTGTCGTCGAGAGAAGGTGGCATACGGATATCGAGAGTTGGCTATCAAGAGATTGATCACTCGGAGATCGATTGTGGCATACGATCCTTCTGCTATTCCTCTGCCAGTTACTCCGCACGTGACGACACGTTCGGGGAAAGGCATGGTTATTAAGGAGGAGACGAAGTCGGAGATCTTTGATAGTGACGATTCCTTTTCCGACGAGGAATCCGAGTGAGGGCCTTGTCGTTGCGACGACTTCCTTACTAGAGCGGAGCTCTTAAGTGAGCGAAGATTGTTGAACCAAGGTAAGTGTAAAGATGAAGAGCAAGAATTTAGAGCTGCTACTATTGGTTTGATCTTGTGCGGTGCAGTAAAGTGGGGGAAGAAGTTTGTTAACTATTAGAGGGATGAAGTGGATAGGGGGACTTTCGATCTCTCGGCCCCTAGGAGTTGTGTCTATGTTCTGATCTCCCCTTGGTTCAAACAAGTGTATATTGGGATGACCGAGCGGGGTCTGTGGGCTAGATGGCGTGAACATTTCTATTTGGGACATAGATCTGGAAAGCGTGGGAGGACGCTGCACAATTGGTTAGGGAAAGTTGGGGCACATAAGTATGTTGCTCTTCCGTTATTTACGAGCACGGATCGATCTGAACACGAGGCAATGCAAGCAGCCTTGATTAAGCATTGGTCGCCTTCTTTGAATATTCGGTTGTCGACAACTCGGAAGGGTAATAAGAAGTCGAAATGAAGACCAGGGAAGAGGGAGAGGAGGAAGTGGTTGGCCACGTGTGTGGGTAGAATGTGTGAGTTTAAGACAGACATCGGGAAGCTGTTGGCGCTAAAAATAGAAGGAACAGATTGTAGTACTGTTAAAGTTTTGGAGGTGTTGCGTAGTTTGAAACGAAGGAAAGGGTTGTATAGAAGAGAGGCCCGAACGTGGGCGAGATTCTCCATAACCATTGTCGTTTTGCGTCGAAACGTGCATCCAGCTGTGTTTGTGCTGGTTTGCCCTTTCCAAGGAAGGAGGGGCACGTGCATTTCCGGATTGGTGAGTTGGAGGGGGTCCCTTCTATCTATAGGAATGCAAAGAACATTCCGAGATATGATGTTGAGTATCGGGATGTTTTGTTGGGATGGGAATTGAACGAAGCGTTTCGTATTTGGGGTGGGAATATAAAGTTGTCTGAACATGAGATTGTGTTCACAAGCGAAGAAGTGCAGTGTTGTCTTGTTAAAACGGTGACCGAGTGTCGGACCAATGGGATAGAGGAGGTGTTATCTGTAAAGGAGAGATTGAAGGGATTGGTCTTGGCGCCCCTGGACCGAAATCCGGGCGACACGTTAGTGCTTTGTCCGTTGCTGTATGACCAAGGAATGGAGAAGACTTTTCTCCTGAGTGATGGTTATCGTGTTTGCATGGAGGAAGAGGTGGGGCTGATGAATTCGGCAAGATTCGAATATGAGAAGAGGAAGCTACATATATATGGGAAGTGGAATATGAATGGGAAGATAGGGAAAGCATATGCTCTGCCGAAGCATAAAGATACGGATAAGTTCCGCCCTATCTGTCCTACCTTTGAAGAGCCTTCGATGAAGGCGTGCAAGCTAGTCGCCAAAGGTGTCAATGGGTTGTTGTTTGCACTACCGGAGTCGGGGCACTTCAACCTGCGATCGGTATCTGATATGAAGAATCGTTTGAAGGGGATAGACAACAGATTGGGAAAGAGTAGAAATAATGTGGAGATTGTGGGAGCGTCTTTCGATATCAAAGACATGTTTAGTCGCCTTCCTCATGCAACGATCAGATCGGCAATATAGTGGTATTTTTGTACATAAGAGAGGTAAGGGCGCACGGCGGAGCAAGAGTCAATGCTTGGATGGGTTTGTCTTTTTGTCTTTCATTTACATGGTATCATTCGTTTCCTTCGAACTGGATTTTTGCTTTAGAGCTTATAGGATTCTTTAGCAGCAGATCATTGGGATCCCAATGGGAAAAAGTTCGAGCCCCCCATTGGCATGCCTGATGTGCGCGAAGCGTGAATGGGATTTTCTCCTGACGATTGGTAGTCAGAAGCGTGCCTTCGGGGGTATGAGGTTTGTCGATGACGTTTCTGTGTTTGCCGCCTACAATCCAGAGAAAACTGGTGACAAGGAAAAGGCTATACAAACGTTGACTCTTTTTGAGAAGTGTTGTGATCCGGCTCTTACCTTCAAACGTACTGATGAGGAGGAGGGAAGTTGGGTTTTCTTGGGCTGTAGACTGACAATTGCGAAGAAACCACCTTTCTTGAGTACCATACAAATTCTGAAAAACGATGAAAAACTGAGGGAAGGAGGTGATTTGCCTTTTCGCACTTTCCAGGACTTTGGGTCGTGGTCGAGCAAGAGGGAAAAATTGGCAGCTATCATTGGTGCCTTACACCGCATTGATCAGAATTCGTGTATGGGTATGGAGCTTTTTGATACCGTGCTCATGTTGAAACTTGAACTGAGAAGATGTGGTTACCCGAGTCGTTGGTTTAGCAAGGCGCTGAGAAACTTCAACCGCGAGAAGAGCCCGACCTGGAGAATGATTGAGGTACTCCTTGGTGGAAAATAAGTTGGCTAGGATAGTGGCTTGACCTAACATTGTCGTTTCTGTGTAGTATTGAATCGGTGGTCAGTTTGTGCTTGTCTTTGAGTCGCGTGTGCTTGTGTATTAGAGGTTTGGTGCTTTTCTTTGTTCCATTTGCATTGCATGCTGACTCGAATGCTGGACCGTTGGTTTATTGAGACCAGGGTCCACCTTTTGCTTTGTATGAGGTTAAGTATCAGTAGTGGGAATTACCGTGTCCGTGGAGAAATCGAGCATAAGTTCAAGTCATTGAGGGGCTCGAACCTCGGATCTACGAGAGGATAATCGGTTTGGTTTGTTTTTTTGCGAATACCGGTACCATCCGTGGACATGTGTCAGGATTGGTACCTTGCAAGTTTCCCGAATGCCTGGAGGCACCGCCCCTTATCTTTTGGATTTGAACCGCACCGGGACGTAAACGTAGGGCGGGTTCGGCCCAGTAGTGCAGGGGCAAGTAGGGAATTCTGATCGATGGTCAACATAAATGGTGAGGAGCGGAGTTACGAAGTCCCTTTCGCCTTGTGGCGTTCGACACAACCGAGGGTGAGGGAGGTAGCGATGGAGGGTGACGAGGGATGGTAGTGTGGGTGGTTGTGCCGTCAACACTCATCTATATCATGAGCTGCACGTACGACCATGATTAGTCGACCACTGGTTAACATGGGTCTTTATTTCGAATCGGATGTTGATTGTTGATTCATACAGCATTTGGCTCGTCCAAGTGTGCTGTCAACTGCGTGTGAGTCTGGTCTTTGCCTGCATCTGCAGTTATTTGCTATCCTTGTTGATATAGTGCAAAAAGAAACGTGCAAAAAAAACGCGGAAAAATGTTAATAGTTTTAACATATTGTTTTGTTTTGTTTTTTTTCTATTCATTTCTCATCTTACATAGGATAAATGTACGTGTACTCATTTATCTGCTTACAAATAGGATAAACGAAGATGTATATGTCATATAAAAAAAAAAAAAAAAAAATCAACACTTTTTTTTTTTTTTTTTTTTTTCTCTCTGTATGTGTGTGTGTGTGTGTGTGTGTGTGTGTGTGTGATTAACTACTTAGCTGAGGTCTTGTCATAACTCTCTGTATGTGTCTCCTGCTCTCTCTCTCACTCTCTCATCTTGTACTCTCTTTTTCACTATCAAACTCGCTGATTCACTCATTCTTATATTTTTTCTCTACATACAGATTTTTACGCATGCATATATAGACTGCCATGAAGAGTGTGAGATTATAGTGTAGTACAACATCTGAATATATTTGTTGTGGTCCTTACTTTAATTTTATATATAAAGAAAACAAATGTGCTAAGCTTCTTACAAACGAGCACTTAATGATTGTAACACAGTAATATTCACTGGTGCAGCAGGTACATATGAAATTAATAAAAAATTGTAGATTAATCTTAAAATATATGCGTGCATGCCAACCACATATAAGATATAATATACGTTTTCTGTTTTTTCATCATACTTTATCTAGGTTAGCAGCCAGGCCGTCCGGGTCCTTGTTGGCCAGCCCGTGCAAGGACAAGGGAAGTTCCCAGCAAAAAAAAAAACAAAAAAACAAAAAAAAAATCAAATAATTCACAAAAAAACTATGTTGTGGCAGCTATGCAGAAAAAAAATAAACTGAACAACTTTTGCCTGAAGGTCACATCGAAATTCTTCACCAAATTCAAAATAAAACAAAAAATTTAAAAATATTTTTTTTAATTATTTTTTTAAACGTTTTTGTCACTGTCGGGCAAGTGCACCTGGGACACTCAAGAGCCTAGTGCTTCAGCATATTGACAGTGTAAATGGAAGCATCATCCTCTAGTGTGTGCACAATGTTGGATGATGGTTTGTTTATGAGAAGATGCATCTGAACTTGCATCACTGATTGACATCTTTAAATAAAAAACGTTTTTTTTTTATGTGGCTTACAATTGTTTTTTATTTTTTGCTTAACATCATCGTTTTCACTGCAACCACTATAGATTATGCCTTCCTTGGTAAGGAAACTAAGTGCACTCATTTCATACTTTATTTCTCTCTCTCTTTCTCTCTTTTACAAACACAAACGCATAAATGATGATGTATAGTGAATTATCTATTCTACAATTTTTTCACGACTTCTGCTATTGTAAGTGGGTGCTTACTACTTTCACGACATGAAATGTGTTGAGCCTCTAAGTGCTATGCAAGTATCAAACCTCTATTCATAATTAATTTTTTAAGAAAATAAAAAATTAGATTCACACTTTTATAATTTATTTTTTTTCGTTAATCTCATTAACATATATACGAACATGTAACAACGGAAAATATGTATGATAGTTATTTTTAGCGTACTAATTTAAACACACTCTGTGCGTTAAGCCTAAAAGTTTTATACACCTACCTACCGCCATACTTCTATCAACGTTTCCTAAACACCATTAATAAGGGGGGGGGGAATAAATATTTTTTATTTTCTTACAACGTTCACAACTTTGCATTAATGTTATTTGAATTTTTCTTTTTTCCACATCACGGATGAACAAAAATGGTCGATATGTGCATATGAAGTTTAGGCTTAACAATAGTGTGTCAAAATTAATAATGATTAAACGATCAAGACAGAAGTTATCAAAAAAATGATCAAACATATTTTGCATTTTTACGTTTGTATTTGTGAAAAATGT